TGATCCGAGTGCTGACCAGGAGAATGGTGACTTTGTCCCTAACCCAGAAAATAATGATCCCAAACCTTCCAGGCATAAGATTCGAAATAGGAAAGATATCCTGAGCATAGCTCTGGCCAGCATGCGACACCACACTGGTCTCAGAGAAACTGCAGAGATAGCAACAGCTGCCTGGATTGACGGTGGTTTGGTAACACCTGATGATGTTCACCTGGTGATAGATCATAACAAAGTAAGGAGAGCTCAGGAGAAACTTGTCAGTAACCTAGAAGAGGAGTTTGATAAGGGGATAAGAGAAAATGGAATCAATTGTTTGTTCTTTGATGGGAGAAGGATGACACTAAAGTGTTCATGAAAGTTGGAGATTCTGACAAGTTGTTCCCTGCCATGGTGAAGGAGGAACACTACTCCTGCTGCAGTGAACCAGGAGGGAAGTATTTGTGGCATTTCACTCCAGAGAAAGATGACATCAGGAAACCAGCTGAGATAGTGGCAGATAACATTGTGAACTGGCCCAGAGAGGAACGTAGACCAGACCCTGCAGGCCATTGGAGGGGACAGCACCAACACGAACACAAGGTGGCAAGGGGGGGTCATACAGTGGATAGAGCGAAGATTGGGAGGAAGCTGGTCTGGATTGTTTGTGACCTCCACACCAACGAGTTGCCACTCAGACATCTGATCCAGGAGCTGGATGGCAAGACTCTTTCAAACAACAGATGGTCTGGTCCTCTTGGCAAGATGCTGGACTCTGCCACTGAGTTAGAAATAAATCCGAGCTTTGAAAAAATCACAGCTGGCCCTCCACTCGTTGAGCTTGCACATACTGTCATTGACGACCTGAGTACTGACCAGTACTATATGGTTACATGATTTGCAGTGCCATCAAAACTGGGGTCATGCCTACTAGACTTGCTTACCTGCAGATAGGTCCAGTCTCACATTCTAGGTGGCTCACAACGGCTCTCAGGTTCTGCAGAATTTGGGTCGCTCATCATAAACTGAAAGGGAACCAGCTTCACAACCTGAGACTTATTGTCCAATTCATCGTGAGTGTCTACTTGCCAAATTGGTTCAACACCAAGATCAAGTCATCGTTCTCCGAAGGTCCGAGGCATGTTCTCTTCCAGCTTGAGCTCCTGAGGAGTCAGCCAAGGAAGGTTGTTCAGATTGTGGAGCAGACTGTGAGAAGATCTTCCTGGTATGCTCATCCCGAGGCAGTTCTGCAGACAATGCTCTGCAGTAAGGATGAGGAGGAGAGAAGAGTGGCAGTCAAAAAGATCTTGGATATGAGACTTATATATATGGAGAGGATCTGGGCATGACAGATCAGTTGGTGACAGCGATTCCTTCAGGGGTCAGGAAGACTCCTGAAGTCAGCGTCTAGGTGCCAAGACCCTCACTGATCTCATAGATCTGGATAACAGCCAGGCTGACAGTGAGCCCCCTCTTACCTGCAGCCTCACCAATGTTCAAGTCAGAGCTTTCCTGGACAACCCCATGCATGTCCCTGCCTGGCCCTCCCACACCCAGAGTATAGAGCGTTGTGTACAGCAAGTGAGCGAGGCCAGCAGTCACGTGTACAGCCAGGAGAGGAGGGAAGGCTACATCTGAGCTCAGGTGGTCAGCAGGGAGGTGATGAGTAGAAAGAGAAGCAAGAAAGACATGTTCTCTATGGTGTGCAGCAACACCGGGTCATCGTAGTAAAACCGGTTTTTGTATTTGATGATTTTGTTTTCTAAAGGAATATTAAATTTAATAAATGTGTCAAGATCATTCGTTTCACTATTCTGGATCATTTTCATCCTAATAAATTAACCTGATACATTTACTTTACTTTAAATAAGCTATTTAGTGGTGTTGGTAAAAGGGTGGGAATACTGAATTTTCATAAGATTTCAAGTTAAAATTTACCTAGCAAAAAATGAAAACTTTTCAAATCTGAAGATATCACATGATTCTGCACATAGAACTACATCATTAATACCATGGGCCGATTTTTCAAACTCAAAAAAAAAAATTCGCCTCCGTATGACACACCCTAACCTTGCACAGGCCTTTCTTTTCTCATTATACATTTTCATATAGAGGTCATTTGCATTTATTTAAATTTTAAGGCTTTATTCTGTTAATGGATCTATTTCAGAAATTATGTCCATTGCTTGCTCCATATAATATCCACAGACCTCTCAACCTTTTCATGTCGTTTTAACACATCTAGTTTCTCGGCTAAGCTTAGACACTTTCTATTAGCTTTTGAAACAACACTACCATCACTCGCTCTCTTGCCCATGTTGAAAAGGGCTGCAAAAATGCTGTAAGAAACCTGAGAAAGTTTTTCGCCTGTTTCTGTTCCAGATGCTGAAAACAAAAGGCCCACCAAGCTCCAAATGTTGTTTACCACTCATTAGCAAGGCAGCTTCTTAGTGCAAGGCACTCTTTCATTTTTTAACAGTATTTTATTTATTTTATTTTTTTTATAATCCATATCAGGATTTAGTTATTATTTATATGGAAATGTATTTTATTTTATTTTATTTTATATTGGTCGGAAATACGAATGAAATAAGGACTTTAATTGAATTGGGTCTTAAATATGAAAAGTTGTTGGTTGAGCCGTTGTTATCGGAGGCTTTACTGTACAGTGGTCCCTCGGTTAACGAAACAATTGTCTAGAAGGTTGCTCGTTAAATGAAAAATTCGTTAACCGAAACCATTGTTTCAATGGGTTTTTGGGTAATTGGTTCCAGCTCACCGAAATTTGCCTAAAGTCAACAAAAAGGGTAGTAAAGTACACTTACTTTGAGGTGTGCATGTAGAAGGCTCCTGGATGATGATGATGATGGGCATTAGAATGGGGGTAGAGGAGGAGAAGAGAGAAGGCGTTGGGAAGAGAAGTCACCCCATGCCGCCATTTCACCCATAAAATTTTAGTCACTTGGTGTAATTCAAGATTATTTTCTTTAAATCAACACTGCACTGCTTTATATATTGTCAATATGTAAAATAAATTTCAAAATGACCAATAATTTGACTGGAAACACTTCTAAAATTGTTGAATAGTACAAACTTCTTGATATTTATTAAAATACTGTATTAAGGAATTTAAGCCCTAGAACCGATTATTATATTGGCGGACTATGACAGCTAGTGTGCAAGTGAAAACATGTTGAGGGGCGCTCTTAAGGAATTCGTTAATCGAGGGAATGCTCTTTAACCAAAGTTAAGAATCTTATGGAAGGTAATTCACAACGAGTCGTTCGTTAACTGAGGGATCACTGTACATGTTTTTCAACGATTTTTTCGGTAGATATGGTAACTTTTTTTTATTTTACTCATTTACCTGCACACAGCATCCTAAATACATACAGTATAGTCTGGGTTTACGCGGATATTTTATACGCCTTGGCCATTTTTGTGCACTTGTCCAGACGCGCCAATTATTTGTTACGCGGCAATTCTTAATTTACGCAAGTGGCTGGTCGCTGTCGCCAGACTCGCGGCCGATGACGCCGCGGACTGTGATTGACCACGATCTCACCCACGCACTCCCTCCGCCAAGACTGTGATTGGTTATTTAACCTTGCCTGCCCAGTCAATAAAACATTACCGAAGCCTTCACACTCCACCACAGCCATCCCAAGTCAGTGCTAGTGATAGTGAGGATATGGACTTTGAGGGTTTGACAAGGAGGCCCCACTAGCCTCTGTGGTGATACAGATGAGGGCCAATAATCTGCCTCTGCCTCGAACCAACCTTCCATCCCCTGTGCCCAGCCATCTCTTCACTACGTAAGTGTTAAAACCTAATATTATTGATATTTCTCTTAAATATTAATTGTATGTGCATACCATCATAAAATTAAGATGTTATTTTTACTACAACGCATATATTGTGTCGAAAAAGTGTAGTTTGGGGTCGCCAGTCTCTATTTCAATTAATCCCATAGGTTCTGTTATTTTATTTACGCTGCTTGCTATATGCCGGACTCCATGGGTTTAATTGACCGTGAAACCCAGACTATACTGTATTGTCCTAAGGGCAAACCTGTACTGTACTCAAATGTACCAAATAATTACTAAAAATTTTATGTCTAGTGCAAACTATAGCATGTTTATATAAAAACTTAATCACTAACTTACAAGGATTCCATCAATGTAAGTACATTCTGCCATGTCAATACCCCTAACCTGTACCATTTACATGCATTCTTATGGGAAAACAGTGACGACAAAAAACGATTTTATATTGAGTCGTTGGGACGTTAAACGAATTATTGGTATCTAAAGAGTAATCATGTTGTCCCGAAACAATGTTAAGCGGGCTGACGTTATACAAGTACTGTACTTAAAATTACTGTGTAAGCAAATTTGCACTTACACAGTGATTCCAGGAATGTTCACATACTCTAAGACCCTACTTGTGATAGCTGTTTTGGTATCACATTAATTGTTTTAAATTTGTTCTGGAACTCTTAAGTGGCAGGGCTTGGTATATACACTTCTGGTTGGCTTTTCTTTTATTATTGAAGCATCTATATACACATTTACTTATGTCTGAGAGAATATATTGCAAATTCTATCCAGGGAAGTGTTATGAGTACACTTTTAAGAGAACACTTAAGTTATGTGTTCACCCCTGAAAAAATGGTAAAGATCTATCCCCACCTCTGAGCATGAGAGAGGAGGGTGCATCAAGAGGGTGTTTGATTAGTCAGATGACCTTGCTCGACCTCGGAGAGAGTTACAAGCTCAGCCGTGAATAATCGTCAACAACTGAGTCGTTGTTGAATAACTTGGTGAATAAGTTGGTGCTAGTATTCATTTGGGTGAATATTTATATAAAGCAAAGGTGCTGTTACATACTGTATTAACTAAAAGAGCAGTGCTGTGTACAAAAACTGTTATTAAAAGTTCAATAAGAAGAGTTTGAATTGGAACAGTAAACTATTTGCTTTCATTCATGGTTCTTAATACTGTATGTGTTTCTTTTATTTTCAGGAAAAGCCACCATCAAAGAAGTTGTGGCCAACATTCTAGAAAGTAACCAAGAAAAGAGGTGGTCTTTGACCTTCAAAAAGTTACAACATCGTCAGATTTTAAGACCGCTCACAACCTTAATGAAAAATATTAAAAAAATGAAAATTTCAAATTATGCCATAAGGCAAAAGAAAAAGGAAGGGGGGTCACCAACCCCAGAGAAATGTGTGGTTGATGAAGAACAACTGAAAAAAATTCTCTTGGCAACAGAAAACACAGAAATTGAAAAATTGCTGCTGAACCAAGAGTTTCAGGTAAGATCTCAAGAGGGCTAACTGTCGTTGAATAATTCCTCTACTTTTTTTAATCAATGTTTACCGTTTAAGTCTTTCTTCATCACTTCTCTGCATATATAAATTCAGTGTAATCCAAGAAACATTAATAATTTTAAGACTTGTGTTCTGTCATTCTTCACTTTTTATTTTTATAATATGTAATACCTGTACAGTATTAACTATTTATCCATCCCTCAGCTTCTGCAGCTCCTTCCTATGAATATTTAGAGGAAATTTGGTATTTTGCCAACAAACATAACTCTTACATGAGAACAGTTCATGCAGGTATACCTCTTTGTATACTAGCTTAACACCACCCTCACCACCTCTAACACCACCCACAAGACCTCTAACACCCACGCACCCCAACACCACCCACGACCTCACACCACACCCACACAACTCCAACACCCACACACCCCCAACACCACCCACACAACCTCAACACCACCACACACCCCAACAGCACCCACACACCCCCAACACCACCCACACACCCCAACACCCACACGCCCAACACCACCCACACACGCCCAACACCACCCACACATGCCCAACACCACCCACACACCCAACACCACCCACACACACCCACACACCCCTAATACCACCCACACACCCCACACCACCACCCACACACCCCTAACACCACCACCCACACCCCCCCAACACCACCCCCACACACCCCTGACACCACCACCCAACACCCCAACACCACCACCCACACACCCCCAACCACCACCCACACACCCCAACACCACCACCCACACAACCCCAACACCACCACAACCCCAACACCACCAACACACCCCTAACACCACCCCACCCACACACCCCAACACCACCACCCACACACCCCTAACACCACCACCCACACACCCCTAACACCACCACCCACACCCTAACACCACCACCCACACACCCCTAACACCACCACCCACACACCCCTAACACCACCCACACACCCCAACACCACCACCACCCCACACACCCACACAACCCCAACACCCCACACCCACCCCCACACACCCCAACACCACACCCCACACCCACCACCACCCACACACCCCCAACACCACACCCACACACCCCCAACACCACCACCCACACAACCCCAACACCACCACACAAACCCCAACACCACCAACACCCCAACACCCACCACCCACACACCCCACACCACCCCACCCCAACACCACCCCACACACCCCAACACCACCACCCCACACACCACACACCCCTAACACCACCACCCACACACCCCTAACACCACCACCCACACAACCTCCCAACACCACCACCCACAACCCCCAACACCACCCAACCACACAACCCCCAACACCACCACCCACACACCCCCAACACCACCACCCACACCCCCAACACCACCACCACACACCCCAACACCACCACCCAACCCCCAACACCACCACACCCACACCCCAACACCACCACCCACACACCCCAACACCACCACACACAACCCCAACACCACCACCCACACACCCCACCACCACCCACACACCCCTAACACCACCACCCACACACCCCTAACACCACCCCACCCACACACCCCTAACACCACCACCCACACACCCCAACACCACCACCCAAACACCCCAACACCACCAACCCCAACACCACCACCCACACAACCCCAACACCACCCCAAACCCACACACCCCAACACCACCACCCACACACCCCCAACACCACCACCCACACACCCCTAACACCACCACCCACACACCCCCAACACCACCACCCACACCAACCCAACACCACCACCCACACACCCCCAACACCCACCCAACACACACCCAACACCAACACACCCACACACCCCTAACACCACCAACACAATAACCCTAACACCACCACCCACAACCCCTAACACCACCACAACCCAACACCACCACCCACCTCACACCACCAACCACCCCAACACCACCCCACACAACCCTCAACACCACCAACCCACACACCCCCAACACCACCACCCACACACCCCAACACCACCACCCACACAACCCCAACACCACCACCCACACACCCCCAACACCACCACCCACACACCCCCAACCACCACCACACACCCCAACACCACCACCCACACACCCCAACACCACCACCCACACACCCTAACACCACCACCCACACACCCTAACACCACCACCCACACACCCCTAACACCACCACCCACACACCCCAACACCACTCACCACACACCCCTAACACCACCACCACACCCCCAACGCCACCACCACACACCCCAACACCACCACCCACACCTAACCCCACCACCACACACCCCAACCCACCACCACACCCAACACCACCACCACACACCCCCAACACCACCATCCACACACCCCCAACACCACCATCCACACACCCCAACCCACCACCACACACCCCAACGCCACCACCACACACCCCAACACCACCACACCCCAACACCACCATCCACACACCCCCAACACCACCACCACACAACCCCCAACACCACCATCCACACACCCCAACACCACCACCACACCCCAACACCACACCCCCAACACCATCCACACACCCCAACACCACACCCCAACACCACCACACACCCCCAACACCACCACCACACCCCAACACCACCACCACACCCCTAACACCCCCACCACACACCCCTACACCACCACCACACCCCCAACACCACCATCCACACACCCCCAACACCACCCACACACCCCACACCACCACACACACCCCCAACACCACCACACACCCCCAAACCACACCACCCACACAACCCCCAACACCACCCACACACCCCAACACCACCCACACACCCCAACACCCACCACACCCCCAAACACCAACCCCAACACCACCACCCACACACCCCAACACCACCACCACACACCCCCAACACCACCACCACACACCCCTAACACCACCACCCCAACACCACCCACCACCACCCCTAACACCACCCACCCCAACACCACCCCACCACCACCCATAACACCACCACCACCACCCCCAACACCACCCACCCCAACACAACCACCACCCCTAACACAACCACCACCCCTAACACAACCACCACCCCCACACCACCACCACCCCTAACACCACCACCACCCTAACACCACCACCACCCTAACACAACCACCCTCACCCCACAACCACCACCCCTAACACAACCACCACCCCTAACACAACCACCACCCCTAACACAACCACTCACCCCACCACCACCACCCACCCCCAACACCACCACCACCCCAACACCACCACCCCAACACCACCACCACCCTCACCCCCAACACCACCACCCCCAACACCACCACCACCACCCCTAACACCACCACCACCACCCCTAACTACCACCACCCTAACACACCACCACCTAACACAACTCACCACCCCTAACACAACCACCAACCCCTAACACCACCACCACCCTAACACCACCACCACCCCCAACACCACCACCACCCCAACACACCACCACCACCCCTAACACAACCACACTCCCCAACACAACCACCACCCAACCACCACTCCCCAACACCACCACCACCCTAACACAACCACCCACCCCAACACCACCACCACCCCAACACCACCACCACCCAACAACCACCACCACCCCAACTACCACCACCACCCCTAACACCACCACCACCCCAACACCACCCCACCCTCCACCCCAACACAACCACCACCCCAACACCACCACCAACTCTAACACAACCACCACCACCCCAACACCACCACCACCCCACACCACCACCACCACCCCTAACACCACCACTCACCCCTAAACCCACCACCCACCCCACACCACCACCACCCCAACACCACCCACCACCCCAACACCACCTCACCCACCCCAACACAATCACCACCACCCCAACATACCACCACCCAACACAACCACCACCCCCCAAACAACCACCACCCCTAACACCACCACCACCCCTAACACCACCACCCCAACACTACCACCACCACCCCCCAACACCACCACCACCCCCACACCACCACCACCCCCTAACACCACCACCACCCCAACACAACCTCACCACCCCCAACACCACCACCACCCACATAACACAACACCACCACCCCTAACAAACCACCACCCCTAACACAACCACCACCCCACAACCACCACCCCCAACACACAACCACCACCCCCAACAAACCACCACCCCTAATACAACCACCACCCCTAACACAAACCACCACCCCAACACCACCACCACTCCCCAACACCACCACCACCAACACAACCACCACCCCTAACACACAACCACCACCCCTAACACAACCACCACCCTAACACAACCACCACCCAACACAACCACCACCCTAACACCACCACCACCCCCAACACCACCACCACCCCTAACACCACCACCACCCCCAACACAACAACCGCCCCTAACACTCCACCACCACCACCCCTAACACAACCACCACCCCAACATAACCACCACCCCCACAACCACCCCCTAACACAACCACCACCCCCAACACAACCACCACCCCTAACACCCACCCCCACCCTAACACCACCACCACCCCCAACACAACCACCACCACCCCTAACACAACCACCACCACCCCCAACACCACCACCACCCCCAACACCACCAACACCCCTAACACCACCAACTCTAACACCACCACCCCCAATACCACCACCACCACCACCCCTAACACCACACCAACACCACCACCCCTAACACCACCACCACCCCTAACAACAACCACCCACCCAATAACCCCACCACCACCCCAACACCCACCACCACCTCCCTAACACCACCACCACCACCACCCCTAACGCCACCACCACCACCACCCCTCACTAACCACCACCCCCAACACAACCACCACCCCTAACACAACCACCACCCCCAACACAACCACCACCCCAACACAACCACCACCCAACACCACACCCCACCACCCTAACACAACCACCA